TGGCTACAATTTGTGCGAATCAGACCGAATACCTCTGCTCTCCCACCTTGACCGAAGCAAATACAGACATGGCTACATTCTATACGGATTGGACCCAATACCTCTGCTCTCCCACCTTGACCGAAGCAAATACAGACATGGCTAATACAGACATGGCTACACTCTGTGCGAATCAGACCGAATACCTCTGCTCTCCCACCCTGACTGAAGCAAATACAGACATGGTTACACGTTGTGCGGATCAGACCCAATACCTCTGCTCTCCCACCTTGACCGAAAATACAGACATGGCTACATTCTATACGGATTGGACCCAATACCTCTGCTCTCCCACCCTGACCGAAGCAAATACAGACATGGCTACATTCTGTGCGAATTGGACCCAATACCTCTGCCCTCCCACTTTGACCGAAGCAAATACAGACATGGCTACATGTTGTGCGGATCAGACCCAATACCTCTGCTCTCCCACCTTGACCGAAGTAAATACACACATAGAATCGACAGAAGAACTCACCTCTACACGTCGTGCAGAAGAAAATTCACCTCTCTGGCTGCCTGGTTACTCTAATGGTTACTTAACGAATGGCTTAGCAGACCAATATATCGGTGAGGATATCTCTACAAGGAAACGAGGAAGCTCGAATGATGAATCAGAAGATGGTATATCATCCAAAAGGGCCCGAAGAATAGAAGAGGAATTTCAAGACCTACTTCCGCTGCACTTTGGTGGAGACAGCACAGAGGAAGATAACTTACTGGCATCAATTAATTTGGAGAAATGGGACTGGGGAAGCACGAGAATGGTGGAAGCCACCAACATAGACCTAGATACAATTGGTACAGCTGATAATGACAACAACAGCATCAACACTGATCCACTCGCATGGGAAATAATAGTTCCCGAAGAGGCAGAAGCGGTGACCCCCATCCACCGTCAAACGTTTCAGATTATAGAATGTCAGAACAAAGAGGAAACAGAACCAAGAGAGAGTAGTAAAAGATGGACGAATTGGGAAGGGAAGCCTAAATATAATTATAAAAAACATAAAGGTCAGTTTGTGTTTCACAAGGGAGAAGCCAAAGATGCAGAAACGATACAACAGTTAGAGCAAAGCAAAGCCGCGCTAAACGAAAGCTTTAGTAAAAGCGAAGCGTGTAAATTAGGAAAAATGCTTCAAGACAGACATACGTCTTCGCTAGCCAGAAAATGCATTGGAAACTATCGTGTTGACCAGGCTCGACGGATGTATGAGCTCTATAAAGACTGCACCGAAGAAGAAATGAAAGATGGTTGGAGCCCAAGCTCCATTTGGAAGCGCCCAAAGAAAGACATACTGGAGGAACAGCAACGACGAGCTACGTTAAAAGCGGCTCAAATGATATAGGAAATTCCTCCGCCCTCATTTTGCACCGCAGCTCGTATATGGCGATTTATCTTTCACAATTGGAAGACGAATTCCTAACTACCACAAGTAAAATATATTCCCATGAAACTGTGAGAAACTCGGTATCAAAAATATAAGGTTCCGCATTTGGAAGGTGAATTCCAACTGCCGCAGCAATATGCTTCCGTATATGGAAGACACAGTAGGCTATATTCAGACGACTTTGTGCTACTGAAATTAGAGTAACACAAAATGATACGTTTTAACCTTGCATAGCGTCCCTGAAAATCGACGATCGACATCAATATACGGATTTAATGCATAATGAAACATCGTTAGACTGTGTCATAAAACTTTGTTAGCTTATGCAAGTAATCCTTTATTGAAACTGATACGTTCGAACGAAAGGATAATAAATGCAAACTATAAATTGTTTGTTATCGACGCTCTTATAATAACGACAAGACGAGAATAACCTATTCGAAGAATCAATTATGAAAACGGTTATTACTCGGTTAAACGTATCGGGTTTACACAATGGAGCGATATGATCACTAAGAAAGCTTACGGCAATCTACAACGGAGCAATTTATTCGTTGAAGATAGTCGGTTTATGATACAACGGAGCGATGCGTTCGCTGAAGACAATCAATCTATGCGAAACTATTCGCCGAAAAAACTGACGAAGGAACAAGAGCCAAAGATGTTGTGTTAATATTATTATTTGTATCAAAACGGGGCGAGTCTCTCCATTGGCTTGTAACGTAGTGGTTTCACTATGTGTTCCTTTGTTGCGAACATTTAATAACTTTCTTAACCAACATAAGGCTAGGTCCCGATGTTGTTAATGTGAATGAGAGATATTATTATCTCTGCTATCGTACAAACGACATGATCGTATAAAAGTATAATTATAACGGTTGGATAAATTGTAATTAATCGTTCGCTTATCGAACGTAATAACTACTTAACACATCGATGAAGTAATCTCATTACTACGTACATTATCATCATTACTATCAACTGGGTATGGATAACATTCCACCTAGGTGATGACTCACGGAAATACTCATTAGAGTGTTCGACAAGTTTTGACTCCTCCTTTCGAGAATGTTTACAATCGGTTTGCTATCCGATTCACTGAACTGGAGTCGAACTGCGATGACAATTGGTAATATTAATTACTAATAGATTCATCGCTAGATGATAATGTTATAATGTTATGAGTTACTTGTAACTATTCCATTGTGATGGCATTACCGCTCGACGCCAAGCGGAGAGTATTATAACATTGCTGAACTAAGTGATAGGGTTAAGCTTCCCTCCCTCCTTAGAAGGAATAGCCCAGTTCGGGAAATTCGTCTAGACCGTTGTAAATATTATTAATGACGTTAGTCACACGGAGCCCAATCACGAAGCGATGCTGAGAAGAACCCTCACATCAAAAATAGGAGACAACAGAAACAATCACACCTGCTTGGGCCCTAAACAGCATCCTGGCACAAGGCTAATGTTCTTTACTTTCCCCCTACTCATTAGCTTCATCATATCTGAAATCCAAATCTGAACTAGCCTACAAATGTTGCAGTATGTTGCTGTTGTTGGCGATATAACTGGTTTGTGCGAAATGCATAAGCCAGTGAAGGGAAAGGAATAAAGATATAGAACGGATAACTAGCTCATCTTCAAATTGTGAAATAGACTTTTTTGATCATTATTGTTGGTATCTGTATTATCATATATAATTAAAGGAACTCATATTAATAAATTATACGTTTATTTCCAACCACACACAAGTAATTTGGATTTATCTTGAGACTAAACTTATTATTAGTCCAACATATGTAGATATCTTATTACAATAACTATCTATAGTGTGGTGGTCCATTAAGCAATTTTTTCTTTACAAAAATGCAATGCATTTGAGAGAAATTTGGTAGAGCATGGTTCATTATTAATAAGGAATAATCAGTTAAGCATAAAAGTAATGCCACTAGAAGCAAAGAATGTGTTGGCTATGTCTGTGGCGACTCCAATAATATCGTTATTGATGAAGACCACATTCAAGCACATGACATGTGCTCCAATATACAAAAATTTGATAGATAGAAAAAAATCGCAATAACCCCACGTATTCTTCAACATAATAAAACGGAAACGGAACTTATTTTAAGAGTTTACGAGAAGAGTGCTTTCGTCGGCTTGGGTGTATATGGCGCGCATCAAAAACTTACATGAAATTATTGTTATAATCAGTCGTGGAGTAAATACGAATATCAATTGCCCATCGTTTTAATTCGAAGAAAAAAAGTTTCTCACATGTGTAAACGTAAAATAGTCTCGATGATTTTATGAAATATGGTTCACAATGCGGAATGGTGGAGAGAAAAATTGAGAGCGGAGTTGTTATCAATTATTTATTTATTTATTTATTTATTTATTTATTTATTTATTTATTTATTTATTTATTTATTTATTTATTTATACGCAAAGCATGCGAAGCTGACTGATTTACTATAGTAATACTTCGCTTGTGATGTCTTGAGGTAGTAACGGTTCGCTAGACGTACACGGCTGTAAGTCTTATCATTTTCACCCGTTGTAGAAACGGCAAAAGTCCAAGCCAATCATAGAATCGGGAAATAATGTTATGGGAAGACGTGAATGGTGACAAAATATGTATGGATAAGAGTTTGTACCATGGAACAGGAGGATGATAGGTAGCCTAGACGAATGGCACAGTAATAATGTTATCGGCATGTCGTTGGAAAACGTACATCGAATTCTCAGTGAAATAAGCTTTACTTAAGAAAGTATACCTTCACAACTATGAACATGGTATTATTTTCCCAAGTCCGGTTTAAACATCGTGTAAGCTCTTTCCTGGGAGTAATGGGCACAATCGCATTTTTAGTCTCATTATGACCACTTCCGAATTGCACAATACTGTATGATATATTGCATACGCGCAATTTTCGAGAAAAGCGTGACTAATTTAGACTAAAATGCTTTCCGCTTTATCTATAACTGATGAGGCCTTGGACTTAAGTATTTTATCAAGCATATTTCTCCACCATCTGCGCTCCCGGCAGAAAGATCTTCCTTGCATATGTTATTCTGCTTAGGCCAATATGTCGCCAAAAGTAACGGAGACTATTAAGCAGATTTTTTGAGAGGTTTCAAACAACGGATATGTAGAAGGGCTGAGAAGCAACGACGTGTGTAAGTGGAACTCGGGTCTGTAGATTATAATTAATTACATTTGCGTTGTTACTTGTATGCCGCTGAAATATGCCAGGGAAAAGTTGGCTTATGAATATTAAATGCGATTAGTTATTGGTGTCTCGGTGGAACTGTTTTAATAACCGGCTATCGCACTGCTCTCAGACGCAGCTACAGAGTAGATTTTCCCAGTCTTCTATGATAGTATCTTGTCATCCATGTGTGTTTAGTACTAGTCTATTTAAAGATCGACATATACATTAATCTCCCATACCCCGATCTGCAGAATTTCGTTCACTATGGAGATGTTTTCGCACTTCAGGCGGTTGGGCGCGTCGTTGAATTTGAAAGATATCATAGATGGGAGTGGGTATGAATTCGTTTTTCATATTACCATCGCGGTCATACTCTGTAAAAATGTGCTAACAAGAGCAATTTTCAGGTTAACGGGACTGTTAAGTACAACGCCAGTAAGGTTAAACTAGTATCAAATCAGTGAACTTCCTGGTATTTGTTTTCTGTAATCAAACGTATAACATTGGTTTCTACATTATCGTAAAGCAGTCATCCAACGTTTTTGCAAAGTCTTAATTTGCCAGCCACTGAAGCACTTGCTGCGAGGTATTTCGAGGGCTAATCGACGACTCTAGTCGACTCCATCTCTAATTTCGCTTATTATTTAGATATAAGGCAGAGTGGGAAACTATCCGAGCCCATAATGAGGATACTTTTAAAAAAGCTGCCGTAAGTGTTCAGAAATGGTTTTCTTATGCATGTTGATTGCTTACGTATACTGGATGAAATATATTACGGGTAGATGGCGGACGAACAAGTATGGAGGATTCTCAAGACGTGTGAGGAACATTTCGAGACATGCCAACAATTACAATCAGAGGCAAGACAGCTTCCTAAAATCAAAGCAATGATAGAAGAGACTACAGACATTGCAGGTAACTATAGCTCATTTGGATATTCTCGTAATGGCATTTCGTTTATGAGCAGCGCAAGCAGTATAGCAACATCTGTGTATAGTTCGTTTAAAGGATAGTTTGCGAGAGCTAGACACGATGATAAACAAGTATGTTGATGACGAAGAAAGAAACAGAAAGTAAATATTATCAATCCAATCTCTTTGCCAACTGACTGGTTTATTATCTCTAACATTCTAATTTATTTCAGGGTTCAAAAAGCGCAAAATGAATTCGAGGTCCAAATGGAAAATTATAGGAAACGTATGGAAAATTCCTGGTTGTTTAATGGTTAGTTTTCCACGAACAAACTTATGTGGTTTCTTATAATTTGGATATATGACTAATTGATATGAATATTATTAGGATCGTCTACAGGCATCCGTGAAGAAGACAAATTGACTAGTTTGGAAAGTATAGATTTATTCACTCCAGAAGATCAAGAAGCATTAGAAAATTTTCTTGGGCCTGGAAGTGACGATGAGGCAAATGAAACGTAAAACCGCACAGCATAAGTTAAAGGACAACTCGAAGAATGCGTCTGTTAGTAATAACGTAAAACAGAATAGCAGGTCCGAATGTACAAGATGGTCGCAGAACCACTCAGCCGGAACGAGTGCTTCAGAAGATTGCGAATTCCCCAAGGGATCATGAGTATCGCGATCGGCTGCATCGCCCTGGAGAGATTGTTAATAAATAATAATACTGCGTCTTGCGAAACATCATATATGTCGTCATGCTTGCTAGTAGGTTTTTGAAAGCCTGCAGATTTATTTATCGGCTCAAATACTAAGCAGTTCCTGCGGCTGATGGTAAAGACCTTTATTGTTTGGGCGTCCGAATACTGGTGAACTACCGATAAAGAAATCAAACTTTTCTCGTACCAAAGAACACTATTGACATTCTTTTCACTAATGGCATTTTAATATCATCACAACGAATTAATGGCGCGTATACGTGTCGGTCAAATGTGCACTGCCGAATCCGCCATATATTTGGTATATTGCTTACTTATGACTTTCGTTAGAAATCTAGTTTTTGATTGTTCTGAACCTACAGATAACGAGAGGATGATTCTAAACGAAGCGAAACTTGAAGACAGGTAAGGGAAAGTAGTTTAAGGTTCCTTATAGTTTTTGACTTGTTGATCAAGAACCGTTTGAGCGCATTAGTTGAGTCTTGATTTGCATTTCGCTAATTTGATACAACTACAACTAAAGAAATAATAATTTGATATGTATGCATGATTTTATTAGTTTTATTATAATGTGCATTCGTGAAAATATAAACGATAGTAAAAGCACCAGATGTGATTGCATGCAGAGAAAAATACTCGGACCCAAGCCATTGATGAGTATAACCTATTCTTTGGTCACCCTGGTGCGAATCTAACTCTCCCACTTCTCTCTTCTTCTTTCATACGCTGCATTCTTATATCAATTTCCACCCCCATTTTCTGAATAACTCACTGCGAACACTGATAACATACTAAGAGTAGGTTTCCCCCCACTTCTTAATCACCAATTAAGGCTTGGATTCATCGCTTAGAGAAAAAAGCGCAATGCTAAGCGAATGAAGCAGAATTTACTGTTCGATGTGGCTGTCTTTCGTGTGTTTAGAGAAGGAGAAGAGGATAAGCTAAGCTCGATCACTAGCCAAGCGTTTATATTGTAGAAGAATCGCTGATTTATATTGTTCATATATCTTGAGTACATTCTCCCATCTGACCTCTCCCTTTCCTCTGACATTGATGCATGATCATAAATGAACTCACCACCCCAACTATCAATACAGCAGATATTACTGAGACATCACTCCCCCTCCAACACAAGAAATTACATCCTCCTGCACAACAACTAGAAGGAAGTATCGAATTAACTCCCTCAGTTTCACCCATTACAAGTTCCGCCACATCCTTAACTATTGTATTTTCTCCTGGTAGTCGTATAGGGAGGGGAGAACTTTTCGCTTCTTGGTATGCCTCATTTTTACAATTGCTATGATTGATAATGAAATCCCTATTATCTATGCCTTCCTGCAGTGCCGTCTCCACTTTCGTCAGCTGGTCCTTGGCATCGTTATACAGTTCTTGCTGCCACGAATATTCCGCGGTACTGGAAAAGCTTGATTTCATCTCGTCATCTTCATTGTTCACGTTTTTCTCCTGTTCCTCCTCAATCCGTCATTGCAGTTTGTTTTTATTTTCCAATAGTAATAGTGTTTGCTGGCAGTAATTCTGTTAACCTTATTTCCGGATCTTTTAACATTCTTTTGTGGCCGTCCACTCAGAATGTCATCAATTTATTATAATTCCGAACCACTTTTTCCGGGGTTACCTTCGCCCTGCCTGTTTCTAAATAACGGTGTCACTAGCTAAACGAAGGTGACCGGCTTTAGTGAAGTCTGGCAAAGATTTAAATACGTAAGTTATAATCATTATCGAGGAAATGATTTAGCAGCGTCGTAATAATTGTATTCTAATGAGTAGCGTATCCAATCTAGATACTTGTGGATATAGTCTACCCGCATATTGATATACAGTGTGTCAAAAAATTGTACGCATAACAAAAACGCGTCTAGCATGCCCAATTTTGCAACGCGTTTGATTCAAAAGATTTAGGGATAAAGTTGAACTGCTTTTCTCATTGCACAATGTCTGCTACCAAGAAAGAATTACAACGCAAAACTTTATTATATTTGTGGAATGATGGTGTGCGTAATGCTCGCGAGTTACATGCACGTACGAACATCCCACTTTCTACAATATATGATAATATAAAAAAACTGGCATGCTGGTGGTAATGGTCGCCCAGAAAAATTATTGCTTCGAAGGTGCTTGGGCAGTCCATTCGGCGAGATACTTCCTTGTCAACGCGAACTTTGGCAAAAAAGTTGCTGAAAATGTGACCCATGCAACAGTTGCCAACCATTGAAGGATCTTGGATATAAAAAAGGCCTTCCAAAAGCAACACCTATGCTGACTGATGGTCACAAGCAAAAACGTGTAGAATGGGCCCAGAAACATCTTAAT